ATAAAAAGACAAACATCTGAAGCCTACACTGCTGCATCGGTGCCAGGTGAAGACAAATGTGGCTCAGCTTCCTCCCTGTTCCGACCAGCCTATTTTTTAAAGACATATTTATAATTCCCCTCACCTGAAAAAATTCAGATTTGCTTTTTAATTGAGAAATAGCCCAGCAACCCACATGCTCTTACAAATACTTAAAATCCTTTAAAATCACATTATTTAATGTAGTCAAGGTAACTCATGCAAAAGAAGAGCTACTTGACATACTACATTTCCCAGGATCTCACCTAGGTGGAAGCAGAGGGCGCAACCAGCTCCCAGGTATAAATGCTCACGTGTGGGTGCCTGAAGGCACAGTTGGAGCCTGTTTGGGGTAGTGGGTTACTGGTTTTGGTGCAGAGGCAGTTGCATGGCTTCAGTGCTTCTGTGTGAAGGTAACATTCTGGCAATTATTACTCGTTTTTCCAATGTCTAATTGCTTCCTTCAGTATCTACTTTTAATTAATGCTTTTGCTCTTCTAAGAGCCATAAAAACATGTACTTTTTAAAATATCCTGTTTCTTTGTGCTCACTGATCCATGTTTTGCTGTAAGCTCTGTGTATGTCCTGTGCTATAGTAAGACAAGAAACGGCCTCCTGGCTCTCCTGTTGAAGCTGGTTGTAGCAGAGTTGTGTTTCTCGTGGCAGGTATTTATACTCCTTGGTCTAGGCAGCTAGTGAATGTTTTAACTACAGTAAGTGATACCGAGGGCTGGTGGTGGCTTCAGGGGTGCCAGGGGAGAGTGTTAAAGATCAGTTTCTTTGAAGACTCTGCTTCCTTACTGGCTCCCCTGCCTTATTTTTTGGGAGGGAGTGAGAACACATCCTAGTCCATCCTGCGCAGAGATGGGCTGTCTGACCCAACTAATGCTGCTGAACTGCATGATTTCTACGTCTGGATTCTCCAGTGCAAGCAGCCAATTTATGGTTCCTTCCACTCATGGGGGAAGCAGCTCTTTGTGCCCTTTATGCCCCACTCATAAAAGTCTGGACTTAATTTGGCCCATGTGAATTAGGCCTGTAAAAACAAAAGGCAGGTGATGTTTGCAGCACCAGACTGACTGAATAAATCAGCCCTATTCTTTTTTTTCCTTCTTCTTTTTTAATATGTTAATTTGATACAGTGAGCCCAAAATAAAACGCTCATTAATGAAGGAAAAATAAAGCGCCTCATGAACTGTATGCCACAGCCATGCATGTGACACTCCTCCACTTTATTAGCCTGCTGCAGTAGCTCACCAGTGATCTCAGCCTGCTGAGCCGGGCTGCCCATTTGTTCCCTGGGCTGGGAGGGTAATTAGTTCTTCATGCTGCCTGTGTCCTGGGCCTCTCCTGAGCAGAAGCTGACAGCCATGTGTAGCATTGTGATGTGGAATACCGGTCATTAGGGACAGAGCTGAGATTACCTATCTTATTTCCTTTCTGACCTTAGGTCAGAACTGAAGCACAGTCCCTGAGGTGAGCTTTTGCTTTGTACCCAACACCACCATGCTAACTAGCTCCCTCAGAGCTGCCACCTTAGGGAGACAGCAAATCTAAAATAAACATCATAACTAACACACAAAATGTGAATGAAATGGCCCTCTCTAAACAGAAGCACACTGCCATTTATGGCCAATGTTAACCAGGAAGGCAAAGAGAGACTTCAGCATGTGCGTTTTGACATTTCTTGCATTAGTTGTAGTCTCAAGTCCATGTTCCTTATGCTGGTTTCATGATGTAATTCCAAAGGGGAGAAAGAAACAAACCCAAATGTGCGTAAGTCAAAGACTATTTTATTTCTGGTGTAGAAAGACCGTAACTGGGACTGTATTTCCCCACTGCAGGAAGTTACAGAGTGTTGCAGAGTTCTATGAATATAGGAGAAAGCTGCTGTGGGATTTTTGGAGAAAATATTGCTGTGCCATGGCTATGCTCTCTGGCAGTCAAGATCACTGACTCCTACCTGAAGAAGTCTTCCTATGCCATACAGCAGGGGATAGGGAGGCTTTGAAAGGAACAAGGCAACTGATGGAGCAAGGAGATGGCACCAGGGACCTGACAGAGAAAGGAAGGAAAAGAATGAAGAACAGTTAGGCAGGTTTCTGGTAATATTGGCCCAGAGTAGCCCTGAGCCTGGGCTAAAGTGAGATGGCTGCTTTGCAAATATTTTCTCTTGGCTCCCCTTAGAACTTATGGGACCCAAGGAAGTCCTAACTATACCATTATAAGCAATACACATTATCAGTTAAATCTTGCTAATAATCTGGTTCTAATGTGATTATTTCAGAATTAAAGAATCACATGCAAAGGAACACATTCCCCCCCCCCCCTCCTTTTTTTAACTCATTGTTCTATTACTGAATCTACATAATCGTTAGGTTCTGAGTATGGCAGAAACCTGTGCATAAAAACAAACAAAAGCATATAAATTATAAAATCACTTCTTAAAACTCAGAACTGTAATTAAAAACATATTTGTTTTACTCAAAATTGCATTCAGGAAATCTTTATATAAAACAAGATTTTTATCTCTGTATCTGTATAATTTAAGTAATACAATGAACTTGATTAGCCAACATTAGTTGAAATCAGTGAATACCATGAAGAATTTAATAGTAGTGACTATTTTGTCACAATTCAGTATGTTATTTTACAGCTGGCTTCTACCACTGCTGGTAGGTAACTATGTGATATATAACTTGCAAGCAGTCCTGCTGTTTGTTACTGGCAATTAATTTCTCTGGTGCCTTTCTTCCATTCAGGCCAGGCCTTTATGTTCCAAATCCAGCTATTCTAATACTCCCCACTTCTGCTGTGTAGAAAAGACTCAGACTGACAGATTATCGCAGGGCAGTTAAGCATGTAATTGCTCAAATGAGTTAAAATCCCTTCAAATATCTGTCTTTGTACCTCATCACACCACTTCATGGACTCAAATATTTGACAATTGATGAAGATAAACTAAAAGGATCTTCATTAGCTACCAACCACCGTGACAAGCTTCTTTCAGCTAAAGGCTGGTGAAGTTTGGGACTTATTATCTACTTAAAAACTGCAGGAAAGCAGAAAAATACTTCAGTGTACTTTAGACCAGAGAAAACTAAAAGCTTACATGGTAGCTGGGGTCAAACAAAATTGTGGTTTGCTAATCTAGAGCTGTACTTATTACAAATGTGCAGTAAAATACCCGTGGAATCTTACAGGATAAAAACATAAAGAAAGTAGTTCAAGCTTCTGGTAGCAGCAATCACCACAACCTCCTGGCTAATGGCAAATACAGTGATCTTATTCATTACACTGTAAGTGTGAATCAAAAATCCATTTGTCAAATAATGCCCCCTTTTTATTGCAGTTTCCTTGGTGGGAATAAAAACTTTGACTTTTAGTACAGCCATCTGGATTTCACTTGCTGGTTTTGAGGATGCTGAACATCATTTGCACCTAACAGAAAACCCAGGGCTGGGCAGGCTCAGTGCTCACATACAAGAGATCTGATGATGCCCCAAGTCACTTTACATCTTAACCACTTGAGTTTTATGTTGGCTAGGAGTTTTACAGTCAGCTGATCATGGTGCTGAAGAGGACTGTTGGAGCACTATGGGATTTATTGGATGAAATCATAGCTACATGGAAATAAGAGGGTGCTGCTCTGTTTCTTATCAGGGGAAAATGTTTTATGAGTATCTATCTGTGCACCTATACATGTTCATGGCACACACATGCTTTATTTTCACTGTTCTGCATAGCAAAGAACAAGCTTTAAAGTGTAAAAAAAGATTTATACCCCTTATAGGAAGGTAGACATTTGACCTAAGGTGAGGTTAAGTGGCATGAACAGATGACACTGTATTTACTGTGAGGTCTACTGAGACAAAGTTGCACTGTAGGGTTTTGTGAACAGGCTTTAAAAGGGTAGATGAGGTTTGTACCAGGTCAGTACTTTGTAAAGGCACAGAGTTTTAATGTAAGAGAGCAACTGTGAATAGGAGGTGTTTTAGGAAGTTGTCTGTTGTCTACAATTAGACCTGTACAGCAAAGCACAAATCCATAAGGTCTTGGCATGAATCAGCAATAGTAAGGATGCTTTCTTGAGACTCCTAGAAAAATGCATTATAATTTTATATTCTGTATCATACCTGCTATGAGTTTTTAAACCATAATAAGTATTTCCTGGAGCAGTCCCAGGTTTTTGTCCTCAGAATACCATTCCAACACAGGTAAATCTAGATTGTGCAGTCCCGCAGGTTATGCAAAGGCTGCAAATAACAGCGTCATCCATTCACAGTCTGAACCAGGTGGAAGAATCTTTACAAAACATATTTGTTCTCGTTTTCCTTGAGAATTGGTAGTTTGGGGGGGCGGGTTGTTGATGTGCCATGGTGCTATTCCACAGGGATGTCCTTGCACTGGCATGGATTGCTCGTTGGCTGCAGCCCCTCAGGGGAACGTGCTGCATTGTGGGGTGACCCTCAGGGAAACGTGCTGGATTGTGGGGTCCCCCTCAGGGAAACGTGCTGGATTGTGGGGTCCCCCTCAGGGAAACGTGCTGCATTGTGGGGTCCCCCTCAGGGAAACGTGCTGGATTGTGGGGTCCCCCTCAGGGAAACGTGCTGGATTGTGGGGTCCCCCTCAGGGAAACGTGCTGCAATGTGGGGTCCCCCTCGGGGAAACGTGCTGCATTGTGGGGGTCTCCCTCGGGGAAACGTGCTGCATTGTGGGGTCCCCCTTAGGGGAACGTGCTGCATTTTGGGGTCCGCCTCTGGCATGGCGTGCCTCCAAGCCCCCGGCCATGTCCCCTTCCCAGAGCCTCCCTTGCTCCGTTCAGAGCGTGCCCCCTCCCCCTCCTCAGCCTTTCACACCGCAGGGCCCTTCTTTCCCCGTTCCCTCCCTCAGCGCGTGCTCCCGGGCTGGCCGTGGCCCTGCCAGTCAGAACCGGTCGGGACCGGCTCGGGGCTGTCTGAGGGGCGGTGTCCTCGCTCCCTCACGACGCCCCGCAGCCTCTGCCTCCACAACGCTGCTGTTTAGACACAAAATAACCACTGAACTCTGTAAGACTAGGGCTTGCCTTGTTGTAGTCTGTCACTGTGAGGTTGTGTGACCATATTCCGAGGATGGGGGAAAAATAATCGTTGTTGCAGTCACATTTACCTAGGTAAGGGTTTTTTTTGTTGTTGTTATTGCAACTATCTATCATGTTTATTTGGAATATAATGTGTTATATAACGTGTGGAAGGTTTTTTTCTGCAGTGTATTTAATTAAATTGGTTTCTGTGATGGTAAGACCCCTTTTTGGACCTCTGGCTCTGTTAAAAGGAGGAAGCTCTGACAGACTCTCCTGTTACGTGGCCAAAGAAATCGGTTTCCTTAATCTCTAGTGGAACATTGGACTTGTTGCATTTTAATCTACCACCTGAAATTAAAATACAGTGCTTCACATTTCAGGCATGTTTCAGAAAGCATGATGCCTAAGAAGCTTTTGGGCATGTTCCTTCAAGGGTTGGATATTCTTTCATGATCATGATCCTGTGATCTTATTCACCACCTGTGTATTTGTTTGCTTTTCATAAACAAACCAGAATCTGGACCATCTGCATTGAGTCATGATTCTGTTCTCTTTTAAACCTAAACAAGCAAGCCTTAGACAAAACACCATTATGTTTTTCCTAGATCCAGCCACACGCTGATGATCTGAGTGACCGGTGTAAACCCCTCCACTCCTTTAATTTCCTTCCACTGAGATGAAGCTTGAAGCGTTCTCCAAAAGAATTGTGCTTGAATCCCTCAGCTTATAGTGAGTTGAACTTTACGCTTTCTATTGAAGTTAATCACACTTTCTCTCATGAGTAGGAATGTTTTTAACATGAAACGATACTCCACTGAGGTTTGACAAACTATATTTTAATTGTAATTGATTTGTACCAAAAGATAAAATGAGTTAATTAGGGCAAGCTATCAGAATTAGTGACAAGGGAAATACTCTATACAGCTGGCAGGTAGGGGGTAGGAGATGAGAGGTTTTGAAAGGGAATAGGACACTGGCATTTTTAACCTCCTAGTACTGAGCTCAGTAATGAAAATATTCTACCTCTGGCTTTTGCACAGAGTGTGTGGTTTTTCTGTAGTATGGAGTCTAGATAGAGGTTGAATGCAATCCAGAGATTTAATTGGATCTGTCTTACTGATACTCCTTTGTATGGTATGGATAGTTTTTTGTTGTTGTTCCATCAGCAACATAAGAATGTTTCTTTGGTCTCAGAGTTTCTAGGTGGTGTAAGCAAGGTTCTGGTTCTATTAAGGATGCCAAGCTAAGCATGTACTATTCAATATGAGTAAAGCTTAGGAAACAGTTATTGGTAACGTTTCTGGTCATATTGACAAGTTCCAGTTCAATCTGTTGTAAGCAGGTGTCACTTTATGGTGCTTGGCAGTGGTGTGCAGTGTGTCATCATTATGGCTGTAATTTGGTCATGGAAAGCTTAGCAAAAATCCAGTTATCATGGTGGAGGCATTACATGGAGCTATCTTGTCATCAAAAATGTGTCTTATGCGGGGTTGTCATTGCGGTGACATAAGTCATGGACTGTGCTAAAAATGAGATGTGTGTTTAGCTTATACATGCTCTTCAGGGTGATGTGTTGTGTGGGTAGGGCTGTGTCAGCAATCTAAGGTAAACCCTTTTTCCAATTTGAGCATAACAATAATTGCTGTTGTGTGAAGTGATATGTGTGTTCAAAATGATGCTTGCTTTTATCTGGAAAAAATACCCCTTTTTGTTCCAGTTTTATATGGAATTATTTTCAAAGTGGGTTGAGTTTTATCAATTAAAGCTCTTATCCTGGTGTCAGAACATTCAAAACACAAGAAGCTGTATGATATTTAAGCCAAATTTAATTCTATCCCTTGAAGATTTAAGCCTGGAAAGACTGCATTTTAGAATGTGAGTTCCTATGTGATACCTCATAGAAGAAATAGTATCTCCAGGAGATGTTACACGTCTGAGATGCATGTATGCAGACAGCATGTTGCGGTCACGGAGGGAGCACTGTTTCCCCCACAGAACTCTTGCAGGTAATTTATACACTTTTGAAGATACAGTTGGGTATTCTGGTTTAATATTACAAGGCTGAAATTTGATGGGAAAGAGCTTGGAAAGTTATATGTATCACTTCAGGGATGATGAGATGGTCTAATTTATTCTCCCTGCGGTCTCTATCAAAAATGTGTCCACTCCAACATGATAGGTTTGTCATTTTATCTGTACATGATTCAGGTAATTTGGGTTCTGCTATTGTAATATCTGAGATAAAGTAATTATTTATGAACGTTGGTATCAGATAAGACTTTAAAGTGTTATGGAAGTATTGTTGCATGTGAAGAAATTACTGTTGTTAGGAAAGGTTTAAAATCTACTAATGTTAATTTTGCGAATGAATCTGGGCTATCTGCATATTCCTGTTTGGTTTGCATTGCCTCGAGGCCCTACAGCAATAGGAAAACTAGTTAATTTGGTAAATTTTTAGGCTAAATCTCTTTTTAAAATTTGATTTTTTCTAATCACAAAAAGTTGATTAAGAAAATGTACCCAGCAACAACAGAGAAGGGATCTGGCAAAATTCAGTGCCGCCCTCTGCATTTCACCTTTGTCCTTCTCATCCTTTTGTGGAGTCCTTTTCCCCTGTTACTGCTGTCCTCCTGCATGACAGGTGAGGTTGGATGTGAGATAGTCAATAAAGTTTCTCATGTATATTTCAAAGAACAGCAGTCAATTAACCTTGAGAGAGTTGGATGTTCTCTTGTCTATAACAATAGGCCAATACGTTAAATGCAATCAGGCTATAGGGACATAAGGAAAAAGGTTCTGGCACTCATAACTAAGTCATACTGAGGTCCTCTCCCTGCTTTTGAAAACACCTTTAAAAATATATTATCAAGAAATCTTCAAATCTGTAGCAGAATTTCTTCCAGTGCAGCAGGATGTTGGTATTACTATTTCAATAGCAGCATATTAAATTCACGTTTTATGAGCTTGAAGACAGACAGGGGTCATTGATCTGAGTGTGGCTAAACAAAACTTGGTCAAAGACGCAATGAGACAAACTGTCAGTGGGATGAGAAGGTAGGCTGGATAATCATCATGAATCTTTCTAGTGATGTGGCCAGATTTAGAGTTTTCAGGCTTTTTGTAAGACCAGGTTAAGCAGCTTTGTAATTTAAAGTTTGGTTTTACCAGTGATACCTCAAAGACAGGAAATAGTTTTGGGGGAAGTGTCAATAACCCTGGACTTCCCTTTTGCATTTTGGAAATCTTTTATTAGTCTTTTAATGCATACCACTGTCAAGTCAGAACTGTACCTGGTTTTTTTGCTATAACTGTAGCATTCACATTTTAATAAGACGGTAGGCATAAAAGCAACAAATTATGCCTTTAAAAGAAGAAGAGTTGCTATTTTAATGACCTAACTTTTCCTTAAATCAAAGCTGCAGAGATGATTAGAGTATGGTATGTTGATTTTTAGGAAATATTCTTTTCAGGTGAGGAGTCTTGTGTGTATGTATGTGAAAGGCATTTTATATGCAGAAAGGATCAAACGAAAGTAGCAGAATGGAAATTACTTTTTCATATCTGTTAGAAAGAAACCCCTGTAGACATTGATATCCTTGCAAGGACTCATCTTCACCTTATATAAGGACTGCAGTCATCTGGTTATTTTAAATTGGTTGCAAAATACAATTATACATAAAGCAGCACAGTAGAGAGCTCTATCAAATGCACTAGAGCAGTAAATACTGTTTTCAATTAAACACTAATCTAAAGGATATTATTTCACTGTCCAAGACCTCTCCAGATTTTTTTTTTTAAACAAACATGTTTTAATTACAGAATTTCATTTGCTGGCTCTGAAAGTTTGTCCTTTTAATGAAGAAGATACTTTAAAATTGCTCACTGTAGTTCCTTGCAGAAGGCCTCATTCTGAATTTCATTAAGCACACAATCCCTTTGAAGTGTTCTTTTTTTAGTGAAAACATTATGAGGCCCAGAGTTTGTGGTATGATACTGAAAAGGAGTGCAGGTCAAAGTCTCTAACGAGGCAAATTAGTACAACTCTGATTTAAATGAAGTTGTTAATTTACTTCAAATGGGACTCTGAACAACTATTTTAAAGTCTGAAGGTGTAGTATAAGACTTAAGCATTTTAAAAGCATATAAATACGTACTTTTCAGTGTCTGAATTTTGATTCAAATAAGATATTCACAGAATATCAAATAGGCTTATGCTGCTCTTGTTAAGTGCCTTGTAGCCTCTCTATATTGCTGCAGTACTAATTACACTGTACTTTTTAGAGGTGATTAAACAGGTATCTGGTAATGAGATTCAACTGTAAACTACTGCAGAAAAATGGGCAGGTAATTAGAACTCTGTTCTCACCTCAGTTCAACAACATGAGCAAACACACCTTTCCTAGAGGTCACTCTGGGACAGTGCTAAACAGCAGTTATTTGTGTATGCAGTGTGTGTGATGCTGAGCTGCCTGGATTTGCTGTACAAAGCAGCAGTCAGCTTTAATTTTCAAGAGGCATATGCACAGAGGTATAGGAACAATGAATAAAATATGGTTTTGGAAAGTTGCTTTGCAGGTTCTTGTTGGTCCAAATCTTAAATTCACATGATTGGCAGCTATATGGCAGGTAATCTATATACACACTGATGTTGTCAGTACTAAAGAGTAATCAATAATCACTGAATTCGATAATAATAGATAGCCTCTTGGGTCCCTGTAGTGGCAGCAGTTAATACTAGCTCTCTAAAGAAGCTTTTCCATATTCTCTGTGCTTTCTGGGAAAGAGAAGTTAGTGAGCCAGACAAGAATTTCATAAAAAGAATTTATCAGGTTCATATCATTCATGTATTTTTTAATATTATTTTTTCCTTGAACTATTCAGTGTTGAGGGCTGTTAAAATGATCAGGTGTAGCAAGAATAAATTACTTGTGAGCACTCTTAAGGCTCTTACCCATTCTTGTGACTGCACATCAGCATGTTAGACCCACCTAGATCCAATCCTGTTCTTAGAGATTCATCACAGGGGGAAGTTAGGGTGGGGTTGGCATTGGCTTACCAGCAAACTGGTACTCACACATGTGAATAAAATGGCATGCTTAATTTCTAAAATAGAGGCATTTTGTCCTTGAAACAGTTACTTATGTTTGAGAAACATTGTTCTAAGTAGTATTGGGTTTTCCAAACACCTCTGGAATAGGTATCCTGATTCCATTAAAGGTTAATAGGCTTTGTATGCCTAAACCCCTTGGAGCCCTCTGAAAATCCTACTTGTAGGACATGGCATTATTGGTTTAAGCCATTCAAGACCACTTTACTCATTTGCTAGAAGGACCCTACAGATTTCTTTGATCTCTTCCTGAGAAGTTCCCAGTGGTTTTGAAGGTATAACTGCTTGTTTAGGAAGCAGAAAGCTGCCACACACACTGTGTTTAACCATCATAGCATGTAACTGTTGTGATGTTGTGAAGAAACTACATCTAAACCTGTAGCTGATAGTTGGAGGCCAGGTAGCACCTTTACAATAATCTAATAATGTCCAGCCACTTTAGTTTTGTAGTCTGTTCTGTCTCTGCTTATTTCATCGTCCAGGACTATGACCTCAGGAACATGAAAGATTACTAGGCTAAAATTAAAACATGTAAGAAACTTGTTAAATGTTGTCAGGGTTTATAGTTTAAAACTACTGTGTTATTACATATTGGAACAGCACAAAAGGTAACTCGTGCAAA